CGCCCCACTGGTGGCCCACGTCCCCCGCCACCACCGTGGTGACACCAGTGTCACCTCCTTGGGGTTGGAGACGTTCAGATCTTGCCTGGGAAGATCCCTTCTTCGCGATACTCGTCCCACGTTGTCACCTGCAGGGGGTGGACATCAGAATGGACCATCAGAGGCTGGATGGTGGCACCAGGAAGGGCTTGGGGCTGATGGGGAGGAGCTGAGAGGGACTCCCCCCGCCACCACCGTGGTGACACCAGTGTCACCTCCTTGGGGTTGGAGACGTTCAGATCTTGCCTGGGAAGATCCCTTCTTCGCGATACTCGTCCCACGTTGTCACCTGCAGGGGGTGGACATCAGAATGGACCATCAGAGGCTGGATGGTGGCACCAGGAAGGGCTTGGGGCTGATGGGGAGGAGCTGAGAGGGACTCATGGATCATGGGGCCACCATAGGGGACCTTGAGGGCCATGGGGAGACCCTGAGGGACCCACAGATCAAGGAGACACCATGAGGGACCCATAGATGATGGGGACAACCTGGAGACCCTGATGGCCATGGAGACACCATAAGGGACCCATAGATGACAGAGACACCATAAGGGACCCATAAGATGATGGGGACACCAGGAGGGACCCACAGATGATGAGGACACCATGAAGGACCCATAAATGACGCGGACACCATGAGGGACCCATAAGATGACGGGGACACCATGAGGGACCCATAGATGATGGAGACACCCTGGACACCCTGATGGCCATGGGGACCCCAAGGGAACCCCGAGGGGGTTCTGCCAGCCATGGGGACACCCCAAAGAACCCACAGATGATGGTGACACCCCGAGGAACCCAAGAAGAACTCCCCATCAGGAGGCTTCCCCGCACCCCGTGGCACCCCCCAGAGCTCCTTATGGACCCCTTGGTCCTCCCCACCACCCCGTGGAGCTTCTTCTGCCCCCCCCAACCCCCCCTTGACCCCCACTCACCCAAGAAGTAGGACACAGGGACTTGTAGACCCTGTAGTACCATTGGCAGGGGGTGGCATCCGCCCCTTTGGCGGCCATGGCCTTCTGGCACCGATGGAAGTCTAAGGAGAAGGGGGGGGACACACAGACCATGAGGCCACCACCAAGGTCCTTTGGGGTGGCCCCATGTCCTGGGGGTCACCTCCGAGGTGGCCCCCATGGCCCTACCCAGGTAGTTCTGCCAACAGTTCTTGGTCTGGTTCTGGTTGGGGAAGCGGCTGTCGAACGGAGCCGTCTTGTAGCGCTTCAGCTTGGCCTCGATGTCCTCAGCCATGGCCTGGCAGAGCAATTAGGAGCCCTTAATTAGTGCAGCTTCATTAAGAGACCCCCCTCTTGGTGTCCCTCAGCTTTTATTAGGGGCATTAATTGCCTTAATGGTGTCATTAAGACCTTAATTGGGGGCCCATAAAGGTGGTGGCAGCGTAACGGGAAGGAGAGTAATAAGAGATGGTTAATAGGAAATAAGAAGTGATTAACAGGTTAATTAAGCCAAAACAGGGTAATTAATACCCCAATGGTGTTAATTAATACCCACCTATCATTAATTAATACCCCCCTGCCTTAATTAATCCCCTCTGTCTTAATTAATGGCATTAGGATGAATTAATCCCCCCCATCAATAACGCCCTTGGAATGATAAAGGGGATGGGAATAGGTTGGGAATGAAAGGAGCCTAATTAGAGGTAATTAATGGAGTTAATTAAGCCATAATAATCTAATTAGGAGCACTGTGGGGCTAATTAACCCCCTCCAATTAATTAATGGTTATTAGAAGGAATTAATCCCCCCATAATGAAGAAAGGAAAGGAAAGAGGATGGGAATGAGGAGGCCTGATAAAAGGTAATTAATGCGGTTAATTAAGCCACAATAGGTTAATTAGCTAATCCATTAATTAGTTAATAGCCCCTGGGTGAATTAATGACCGTTAAGAGTAATTAATCCCCTTGGGAGTAATGAATCCCCCCCCCCCTCAATGAACAGAGGAAGAGGAAAGGGGATGGGAATGGGGAGGGGAAAGGCAAGATAACAGGTAATTAATGGGGTTAATTAACACACAACAGACTAATTAATACCTCCTGGGCTTAATTAACACTCCCTAGGGCTAATTAATACCCCCCTTGGGTAATTAATGCCCATTAGGTGTCATTACCCCCCCAACGATGACAAAAAGGAGGCTGATGGGGGTAATTAATGGGTTAATTAAACTTATTAGGACTAATTAATACCCCCTGGGGGTAATTAATAGGCCCCAGTGCTCCCAGTAACCCCCCCAGTGCCCCCAATGGAGCTCCCAGTCTCCCAGTCCATCCCAGTGCCCTCAATGGCGCTCCCAGTTCATCCCAGTCCCTCCCAGTTGCTCCCAGTTCATCCCTGCGCCCCTCACCCGTCTCCGCTCAAAGTC